CGTTATTCCCAGTTTTTTTTTATAAGTATTTAAAGTTCAAAAAAATCACGAAAATTTGCAAATTATTTTGAGTTAAGAATTCGTAGAAATTTTTCTTTTTAAATCTAAGATTTGAAAATGTAATACAAGATTACTCATAAGTTTGTCTACCTTTATCAATAAAAAAATCTCTACCGGACAGTCAAGTTAAATTTTTATGAGCGTTTGAAATTCAAATTTTTACAACATTGGATGTTCACTCGATTTCTCATGTAGCGATTTTCTTATTTTATTGTTATTCATAAACGAATAACTATAGGTACATGAAAATGTCACTGAATGTTTATATTAGCATTTCCCATACACCATACAATTTTGAAAATATTTTGACTCTTTTTAGGCCGTTTACGGACATTTTCAGTTTTCAATTTTTTTAGTTTTTTTTTTTCTATAAATATCAATAAAGTTTTATCTGTTGGGCCAAAAAGTGTAAAAATTTAATACAAGGCTCCTGACATATTTTTACAATATCAGTTGAAAAATATTAAAAATACTTAGTCACAGTTTTTTTTTATAAGCATTTAAAGATCGAATTTTGACAAAATTTATCAAAATCTCGAAAATTATCAATCATTGTAATTAATAAATTATAAAATGTTCAGTTTTTATAGCTAAGGATTGCAAATTTAAAACAAAGGTTCTCATAAATAGTTCATACTGTAACCAAAAAATGTAAAAAATATACAATCACAGTTTATTTTTATAGTCATTTTATGTTCAAATTTGGACGAAATTACATATTAAAAAACCTAGTTATTTTGTTGTGATTATATATAATATTATTCGCGGGTACCTACTTGAAACTTCTAAAGTTTACTATTATATATCAATGATAGTATCAGGATTTGTTATTGATGTTGATGTATAACGTGTTATAAGTACCTAATGGATATTGTGAAAATGTGATATGATTAATTTGGAATTTATTATAGGTCAATTTTTTTTTTAATACCATAGATATGTATATAATTTGTCTTAAACCTAGACTGACATACCGTCTTCGCTTAGAATCGTTTTTCTTATACAATGATATTATATCATTGAATTCAAATTTAATAGCATCCATTATACAGTGACCCACTTGTAACCTACTGTACAGCAGAGTGACATCCACTTACCCACCTTTTTTTATTTAAAAGAACAAAGCCCGATTTCAAAAATGATAGGAAAGAAGCTACAATATGCATTTGAATGATGAACAATATTAATTGATATTTTTCAAACGTATTTTTCTATCATTATTTAAAGTAAAATGAAAATTCGGAATTTCATCTGACCTGAAACAAGTTTTCACTACGAAATTAGAAAAGTTAGACAAATTAGACAAATAAATGAGGCGCGAGAGTATTAATTTTTGTTGATATAATACACCATCCCCACTCATAAATAGTTATCAGGATTTAGCTTGGTGGAAAAGTATTAAAAGTTATAACTAAAGTAGAAACTAAAATATAAATTTCAAATTTTATAGATTCGCGAAAAATTGCAAAATCTGTCAACAACACCGTTAATATAAAAAAATTAGATTCCACCGTTTTAGTACTATTATTAGATTATATTTATACGGGCGAAATTATGATCACAAAAGAAAATGTACAGGTATAAATTATTAAAAATTTGATTTGTTATAGACTAATATAAAATTATTTTAAATATATTTTTGTCTATTTCCCAAGGTTTTATTACCAGCTGCAAACCTCTTACAGTTACATTTTGTAAAAAATGCATGCTCTGAGTTCTTACAAAAACAACTGGATGTATCAAATTGTCTTGGCATCAATGCGTTTGCTAGATTACATAAATGTGCTGATTTGTTATCAACTTCTGAAGTAATCATTAAAAATCAGTTTTTGTGAGATATAATTAACTTTTTTCTCTATATATCAGTAATAAATTATAATATATATAATGACAATTATTTTTAGAGAAGTTGCTAAAAGTGATGGGTTCCTATCTTTATCTTCTGAAGGTGTGGTTAAGATTATCTCCTGTAATGACCTTGCTGTTCCGTTAGAAGAAAAAGTAAGCAAACTGCAGTATTAGTAATTGTTGAATGGAATATCAACTTATAACACAGAGCTAACATAAATTTATATAATTATAATATTATAGTATTTAGAGGGGGTTTGAAGGAAATAATAATTCTGACATATTATGTTGTTATTGCCAATAAAACCAACTTAAAAAAAAAATTTACTGTATAACATAAATCATTATTAATATTATGATATTATGTTGAAATTAATTAGATACCACTATTGAACTTGTGTACCTTTATAATTATAATTTTATTGTTTTTTAGCTTGTCGTTTCTACAGTTAAGATTTTTACCTGTTGTTTTTACCCATCAGTGGCCATAACCATAAACTATATAGGCACGATAAACATGTAATTTATTTCCAAATTCACACAATTAGCACAAATTCAGGGGCGAATTGGCCTATCAGGAAATCGGGAATCTTTCCGATTGGCTGGTTCTTGTGAGGAACGGCAGGGCCGCTATAATTATTGTAATGTAATTACAAAAAAAAATTTATATTTTCATAAATTAAACATACAATATATTAAAAATCAAATACCTACGAAGGTATTATTTTTAATACCTTAAACTATTGCAATTCATAGTATTTATTTTGGTATTTACACTATTTTCCCTCAAATTGATGCTATTGTATTATTTAGAAATCCGTGGTATTGGTGTTTTAGTGTTTATATTTTATATTTTATGGTAATATTCAGTTAGTTGATTGATAACATTGATAACCTTATTTTATCATTATTTATATGTATTTTGATTTTAAACTATTTACATGAACGAGTTACTGAGTCAGTTACGGTACATACAAAAGTGTGTTTAGTGTAAAAATTCAATTGAACTATGCAATTTAAATTATGTGTGACGCTGGGGAAAATCGAAAGAAGGGTGGGGCTGAAAAGATACGAGAAAAAAAGAAAAAACTCTTAATGTAACCTCTTTACGTAGGAACCTTATTTTAAATTTTCAATCCTTAGCTATAAAAGTTGAAAAAAATGAAAAAAAGAAATTCATTACATGAGAAATCGAGTGAATATCAAATGTTGTAAAAATATGAATTTCAAACGATCATAAAATTTTAATTTGACTTTCTTGTTGACAATTTTTTTTTTGATAAAGGTAAACAAAAGGTATTAAAAATGTGTTATAAAATTTTTTTATGAATTTCTAACTCAAAATTATTTGCAAAATTTCGTCATTTTTACGTATTTTGTCAATATTTGTACGTTAAATGCTTATAAAAAAAAATACTTTGGATTTTAAATTTTTTCATTTGCCTTTGAAACAATATACTAGGAGCCTTCTATTAAATTTTCAATCTTTTTAACCAACAAATACAATTTTATTGATATTTATAGAGAAAAAACTAAAAATATGGGAACTGAAAATGTCAGTAAACAACTCAAAGTAAGTCAAAATGTTATGATGTATAGAAAATACTAATATAAACATTCAGTTAAAATTTGGTGTACCTAAGGTAATAGAGTTGCACCAAAAACCAAAATCGATTTTCTCAAAAACAGATTTTGCAGGAAAATTCCCGTTTTTCCTTAATTTTTCTTTTACTTTTCACGGCGCTTTTGAAAACTAATGGGAAATTTTTATTTTTGACCCCCCACCAAAGTACCAACTAGATTAACTTTCCTTTCAGAAAAAAGAACATAGACGAAGAAAATCTAAGTATTTACAATTTTTACTGTCCTTAAATGTGATGACAGACACAAAAATAAAGAAATAAATTAAAATAAAAAAAGTAAAAAAAAACACACATCATTGTAAAGTACTAAAATCAATACATTCATCGCTTCACTCAGTATCTAAAATGTAATAAGATTAAACTTCAAGTTCAAGTTAGAACAGTCTGAACAGGTTAACCTTATCTGACTAATCCAAAACTGTTATAGCTTTATTTATGTGTAACTATATTATATATTTTACTAATTTATGATTGAAACTAAAAAAATTTTGAAATTTGTTTAAAATGATTTAATTCTATATGATACACTGGCTATGTTATTGTTACTATGTGGCTATAATAATACTAGGTACTTACCTATTTGTTGTAAACTGGGTATTATTGTGAAAAGTATCAATTATCTAAAGTTATAGTTGGTTCAAATCCATTGAATCGGCTTGTATTTTAATAATGAATACATTTCTTTACTTGCTATAAAAAGAAGGAATCCAATAATATGTACAGGACCCTGTGATAATCATACACTATCAATGAGTGATTTAACAAATTATTATATATTTAATTAATTTTAATATTTGTAATTGTAGGTATATGAATGTGTTATTAAATGGGTAAAACATGATTTAGATCAAAGAAAAGATTTTTTACCACAATTAATGGAACATGTACGTTTGCCATTATTAAGGCCTGATATTTTAAGTAAAGTAGTTGAAGAACCTCTTCTAAATAATAGTCCTATATGTATGTTATTTTCATAAATATGCTATCATTATCAATATGTTATATATTTTATTAATTATTATTATAATGTTTTAAGGTAACAATTATATAACTGAAACATTACGTTTTAATCTAAAAAAATCTGTTCAAAAATTCACTATACCTAACACAATAAGATGTAAACCTAGACAGTTTGGTGGTTCTCAAAAAGTATGATTCTGTTTTGATTGATATATCTTCACAATTACATTGTCATTTTAATTATATCAGGTTATCTTAATGTTCAACCGGTCTGATACATGGCCAAAGTGTACTACGGAATGGTACGACCCAGCAACCAAACTACGAGAGAATGGACCAGGATTTTTTGTTTCTCGAGACACAGCTGGTTTTGGCGTGATAAGTGATCAATTTGTGTTTGCTGTAGGAGGTTTAAATCTATCAAGTTCTAAATCTGTTAGTATGCTTGATGTATCTTCACAATCACCTTCTTGGGTTCCAATGGTCGACATGTTAGTTAGTCGAAATCTATTAGGAGTCGGAGTATTAGGTGATTCCATATATGCTGTAAGTTACATCAATATATTACTTATTTTATATCATAAATTTATATTATTTTGCAATTCTAGGTTGGTGGATGTGACGGCCCCACTGCATTAAATAGTGTAGAGGTATTTGATGCGAGTATTCAACAATGGCGAATGGTGTCTAGTATTACAAATGCAAGAATGAATTTCGGTGTTGGTGTACTCAATAATAAATTATATGTGGTGAATAATTACATTAGTTATTTATTTTTAATTTGTAATACATTTCATTTAATTAAATTGTTTAGGTTGGAGGTGCTGATAAAGAAATCAGTCTGAAATCTGTGGAATGTTATGATCCCACTCTTGACACATGGACATCAGTGGTGGAAATGTCTGTATGCCGTTGTGGTGTTGGTGTAGGAGTTTTGGACGGTCTTATGTATGCTATTGGTGGTTTTAATGTAGAGTATCTTAAAAGTGTTGAGGTGTACAGACCAAGTGATGGAGTATGGTCTTCTATTGCCTATATGAATTTGTGCCGATTGAGGCCTGGTAACTATAACGATTATATTATTTAGGATTAACTTTAAAAATTGTATTGAATTTAAATTACATTTTTAATAGGAGTCGTCACATTAGATGGTTTATTGTATGTTATGGGCGGAGAAACTGACAAATCTATTATTGATACTGTGGAAATTTACAACCCAATCACTAATACTTGGACCATGGAGAAGTTATCAAGAACTGGAGTACAAATTTATGGTGGAGTAGTCATTGATAGACCACCACATTTTAAAACTAATTAGCATACAGAAAACAGATAAATAATGGTTTCTTTGTGGTTAGTTTTAAATTATTATATACACTATAATGTATAAATTATTATGAATTGTGCATTGTTCTATACTTTTTCGTGTTTGCAAATGTTTGTTAAAAATGGTTTTTATAATTTAAATTTATTACCTTTTGACAAATTTATATCAAGTTGGGAAGACGGGTGGAACGGTGCTAAAACAGTTCGTAGTTTAGGCGTCCAGAGGACGCTTTTCCCTCGTGCTAGGTGCTTGTGTGTATCGCTACGCCATAGACCTATAAACTAATAATGGAAAGCGCGTAGAAAGAGAAGTCAGGGGTATGGTATAGAGTGAGCGAGAAAAGAAACAAAGTAGTACAATTTATACAGTTCTTTATGCAAGCAGCGAGCTAATTCACTTTTTTATGTTTTCTCTCTCTCAATGGTTATAAAATGATTATTATGATCGCCAAGCATTGATGGCAGGGCGTAGTGAACTGCGCTGTCCATTAGGTTATAGGTCTATCGTCACCACAGTATAAAAGCCTTTATACGAATAAGTAAAAAAAATTTTTCTATAAATATCAAGAACAATTGTTTTGTAGGGCCAAAAAGCCTCAAAATTTAATACAAGATTCCTGACATATTGCTTTTGCTTAATTAGCAGTTAAAAAATAATTTAAAAACATAGACGCAAATAGGTTATTCTGTAACCAAAAATCGAAATAATATAAAAACACATTTTTTTTTTATAGTTATATTATGTTCAAATTTTTAGGAAATTACATATTAAATAACCAAGAAAATCGATTTTAGTTATTTTTTTGTAATTTTATAATATTAATTCAACTTACCGGCTACCGTATTAATAATAAGTAGGTTAAAACTAATAACAATATAAATATAATATAAAATATCCACACTGACAAACCGTCACCGCTCAAAATAGTTTTTCGTATACAATGATATTATATCATTAAATTCAAATTTAATACCATCCATTATACAGTGACCCACTTGGACTTGGCCACTTGAAACCTACTGTACAGCAAAGCGATATTCACTTACCCACCTTTTTTTTTCAATCATATAACGTAGATTTAGATTTTAGATCAAGATCTTTTCAATATTTTTTTAAATAATACTCATTTCTGTATAATGTTAAATTTATATTGATCATAATAATATAAAGGCGAATAAAAACATTATTAAGAATTTTCTTCATTTTCTTTCCAAATTCGGGTTTTTACGATATTTTAAGTGAGTTATGGTAAAACATTAATATTTTAAAAGTAGTAAAAAAATTTCTACCTAAGTTATAGGTGCAAATTTGAAAGCTCCTAATTCAGTAGGACTGAAATCATGGAAAGATTGTATAATATCGATGCCATTGTGAACGTTTGCAATATATATATGTTACGGGCAAAGTAGAAATTCGGGCATTGTGCACAATGCCCGATTTTTAAGGGCAAAAATATTATTACCTAAAAGTGGTTTGACATGAATAAAATCAAATAATTACTAAATTTATTTATTTATTATTAAATTACAATTATTTTGATAATTTTATTTTAATTAATTATTACTAAGAAATAATGTAGGGTTAGCATTATTGTATATTATTTATTACCACATACGCCACTATTATAGCACTTTGAATTGCAAAGTCTACCAGATCTTTTACATTTACTTCGGTTGGTCTTACACAATGTATTGCAAGTACATCTATCGTACCCTTGACCACCCAAATTCGACGATTTTCTTGCCACTTCTCTTAGTGAAATTTGTACTGGCAGTACCTCATTAGCCTGGATAAACACCTCTTTGCATATTGTGAATTGGTTCCGACTGTAGAGTTGATGTAGCTGCCCTCTTTTGTTCCAATGTCATATAAATTATCGTTTAGGTACTATAAAAAAAAAATTATTAATTTAAAAATTATTTTATAATTTTGTAATATTCTGGTAGCTATGATGACTACTAGTATATAACGTTTGCAGGTAGCTATGATTATGAGGTATTGGTTGAATAATTGTAACACAATTGCAAAATTATACTGTTGTTTATTAGAGTTCCAATAATCACAATGGTGCTAAGTCCAAATGACAATCGTTACACAGAGTCTCGTGAAGGTGCTTGCAGTAGCGATCAGTGGACACGTCTGAATACAGGCCGTTTCGGGGTCCCTCTTATAGTCCGGTCCCCGCTCCCCTTGCCTGGTGATGCTGTATCTCGGTTCTAACGGATAATATGGTCTATGTGGCCATCGACCTAACTACGCACTTGCGAAATTCCTAATCTATTCTGGGTATTACTATAATGTACTGACAGATAATTTGTGACTGTCAATTTTATTATAATAAACCATACTACCTATTTTTATATTGAATTTCTCTCATATAACGCTATCGCATTTAGCACATCCGCCTATTCTACATGATTGCAAAGTAGTGCTAATCTACTGTGGTATTATTTTGAATATCGTTTCTCCTTGAGCCTTACATTTATTGATCGCAATTTTGTTTACGCGTTCGTTATTGCCGTTATATTCCCCATGGTTTCTTTGATTAAGTACAACCAAAAAGGTTAACTAGTTTCTATTTGATATATCTGACCATCACCTATCTACAGTATATTATGTTAAATATGTTACCTGTCGGGACTTTAAATGTTGCGTAGTAGGTAACTCGCTTACTAAAATTTTAAGATTAATTAGAAATTGGGTTGATTTTAAGCGAACTTTAGCGTGTGTTCCGAACATAGCTTCGTTTGCCGAACGTTTTGTACCATGGTGAAAACTTCGGTTCTTCATAAATTGAACGAATTTAAGACCACTTTCTAGAATTATTATCGGCTAACCATGTTGCGAATATATTTTGAATATCTTTATTGGCCTTTTCAACAGATCCTTGACTTTGTGAGTGTCCAGGATTTCCGTGGAGAATCTTAAGTTCTTCCCACATACTACACAACTCAATAATTACTTTATTGGCGAATTCCCTTCCATTATCGCTTTGAAAAATGGCCAGGGCTCCAAATGTTGTGAAGATATCAATTAACATGTATGCTACTTCTTCAGCCCGTTTATGAGTTAACAGTCCAAGAATTACGAACTTCGTAAGGTGATCTTGATAGACCATTATGAACTTGTAATCGCCATCAGGCTGGGCTTGCAGTCTTTTAAATCAACTTGACATCGAGAGTTCAATTCTGATGAAAGTATAGGTTTTACAACTAAACCTTTTTTTAACAATGGTCACATAAATTTAAAAAAAGATGGGCAAGTGAGTGTCGCTCTGCTGTACAGTAGGGTACAAGTGGGTCACTGGATAATGGATGATATTAAATTTGAATTCAACGATATAATATCTTTGTATAACTGTATAAGAAAAAAGATTCTGAGCGGAGACGGTATGTCAGTCTAGGTATGACATATTATATATACATATCTATAGTACTAAACCAAAATTTGACCTATAATAGGTACCTATAATAAATTCCAAATTAATCATATCACAATATCCATTAGGTACCTACTTATAACGCGTTATCACCAACAACAAACCCTGATACTATCATAGATATATAATATAGTGTACATTAGAAGTTTCAAGTACCCACGAATAGTATTATACACTCACAACAAAATAACTAAAATAGGTATGCTAGGTTTTTTAATATGTAATTTCGTCCAAATTTGAATTTAAAATGTCTGTAAATAATAACTGTGTTCATATATTTTTTAGATTTTTTGGTTACAGTATGAACTATTTATGAGAACCTTTGTTTTAAATTTGCAATCCTTAGCTATAAAAACTGAACATTTTATAATTTATTAATTACAATGATTGATAATTTTCGAGATGTTGATAAATTTTGTCAAAATTCGATCTTTAAATGCTTATAAAAAAAAACTATGCCTATGTATTTTTTAATATTTTTCAGTTGCTATTGTAACAATATATCAGGAGCCTTGTATTAACCTTTTACACTTTTTGGCGCAACAGATAAAACTTTATTGATATTTATAGAAAATAAAAAATTAAAAAAATTGAAAACTGAAAATGTTTAATATTTTTCATCTGCCTTTGAAACAATATACTAGGAGCCTTCTATTAAATTTTCAAGCTTTCGCAACCAACAAATAAAATTTTATTGATATTTTTAGAAAAAAAACTAAAAACAAATGGAAAATGAAAATTTCCGTAAACAGTTCAAAATAAATCAAAATATTTTGAAAATGTTATCGTGTATAGAAAATGCAAATATAAACAACCATTGAAAATTTCATGTATCTACGGTCATTTGTTTTAAAGGTACACCAAAAACCAAAATCGATTTTCTCGAAAAACAGATTTTGCGTAAAAATTCCCGTTTTTCATTAATTTTTCTTTTGTTTTCCCGGCGCTTTGAAAACTACTGGGAAATTTTGACCTCCCCAATGCACCAACGATATTCATTTTCCAATTGAACAAGATACTGAAGTCAAAAATCGAAGCATTATTTCGACTACTTATCGTGTACACAGACACAAAAAAATAAAAAAAAAATACACATCATTGTAAAATCAATACATTCATCGTTTCACTCAGAATCTAAAAAAAAAAATCAAAACATCTATAAAATCTATTGAAAATCTATAATCCTAATACGAGACGAAATATTTTGAATATTTTATCATGTATATAAAATGATGAAATAATCATTTGCTACAAATTTCAAGTACATTTATAATGTGTATACACTACAAAGTTACAAAGTTTCACAAAGATACTAAAAAAAAAGGCAGGTAAGTGGATGTTGCTCAGCTGTACAGTACGTTACAAGTTGGTCATTGTTTAATGGATTGTATT